GAATTTATTTATCAATTCCAGAAGTCTCTTGGCAGAATCTTTGGGGTTTTCTAGATATGAGATCACATCATCAGCAAAGAGTGATAGTTTGACATCTTCTGCCCCCATTTAGATACCCTTGATTTCCTTCTCTTGTCTGATTGCTCTGGCTAGGACTTCCAGCATTATGTTGAATAGAAGTGGTGATAGTGGACAACCTGTTTGGTCCCAGTTCTAAGTGGGAATGCTTTCAATTTTTCCCTGTTCAGTATGATGTTGGCTGTGGGTTTGTCCTATATGGCTTTTATCATTTTGAGGTAAGTCCCATCTATGTCTATTTTGTTTAATGTTCTTATCATAAAGGGTGTTGAATTTTGTGAAATGCTTTTCCTCTGTCTATTGAGAGGATCATATGGTCTTTGTTTTTACTTCTATTTATGTGGTAAATTACATTTATAGATTTGCATATATTGAACCAGCCCTGAAGGCATCTCTGACCCCGTCACTCTTTTGCTCAAAATCCTCCAGTGGTTCCCTGTCTCATGCAGAATAAAAGCCAGAGTCCTCACCTTGGCCTGTAAGGCTCTAGATTGGATTTTGCACTCTGAACTCATCTCCTTCCCTCTTCCTCTTCTTACTCTGTACCCAGTCACACTGACCTTTCTGGAATATATCGAACATTCTTCTGACTCAGAGCCTTTGCATTTTCTGTTTCTTCTGTCCCCAGACATTTGCATGGTTTACACCTTCATTTCATTCAGGTCTCTTCTCAAATGTTTCCCTTATCAGAGAGAACTTCCTTGATTATCTTATAGCATACCCCATCACTCTCTCTTCCTCTTGTTCTATTTTTCTTCACAGTACTTACCACCACCAACTTTGTTTATTGCTTATCCTGTTGCATTGGAAGTAAAGCTCCTTCAGAGTAACAAGAAATATTTATTGAAGGTCTACTATATGTCAGGTCCTTTTCTAGGCAGTGGGATATAAAAGTAAATTAAACAAACACAAATATCCTTATCGTATTTCTGTTCTAGTATTATATAAACTGCTGTATTTATTCCACAAATATTTGATGAATGTATTGAATAAAGTATACATTCTGCAGAATAACAAGAATAGTTCAAAAGAAAAGGAGAGTTGGATTTGTTTATCACCCTTTTACTCATTGGAGCACCTTCCATATCTAGAAAAAATGGCTCTGTAGACTAAAGGTGAAAGGCTGAAAATCTAATAAAATCCCAGGACTTCTGGGCATTCTATACCCCTAACTCTAAGGGGCTCATGGATTCCTCCAAGGTATACTGATTAAAGAAAAAGACCTGGATTGCATGAGAAACTTGACATTGGCACAAAATGAGTAGAGTCTGCTGACTGACTTAAATATCAGATCAGGAGGGAAGTAGCTGGGAAGTGCTAAAAATTAGTAAGAGGGGCTTTGGCCTTGACTGGAAAGAAAAACTATTTTGAATCAAGATAGAATAAACACTAAGGAAGATCAGTATCAGAGACATTGGTAACTAGATCTGGATAAAGTGGTTTGGGGGAAAAGAGGAAATTGCCTTCTTTAAGAGAAAACTTGGGAGGTTAGATGAAGACGTAAACCTTAGAAGCCATTAGACTTTCTTGGAAAGGAAGGGAAGACCATGTCTACTACAGAAGGTGATACTGCTCTTACCACCTTTTTTCCTGTCCTCTTTAGCAACCAGGGATTATGAAAGATTTGCTGGTACCGAGAATAGCCTCAGGGGAAAAGCTAAAGGTAGAGAAAGGGTGAGATGATTAGGAGAGGAAAGGGACCATGACTCTCAGCTCCCAGCTTCCACATAGCCAGAAGACTTCCAGGAAACTGGATACAAGTAGTAGGTGAATACAGGTGCTTTTATTTCACGGACTACATTTCTTATGCTTGAACTTGGTTATCAATTGTATGCAAAATGTCTGTTCTAGAGAATGGCCCCACTGGTCCAGTTCTCCATTTCAAGGCTCAATGCTGCTGCCTCCCCCACCAACTAGAAAACCCTATCTTACTGCTCTTTTTAAAAATTATTATTATGGGGTTCTTGTTCTGAGTCCTTTTTCAGACTTCAGCCAATTCCACTTCCTCTTGCCCCTCTTGACAAAGTCCTGGCCCCATCTCTTTAATGGCTCCTGCCTTCTGAAACTGCTTCCATCATTGGCCCTTACTCACATTGACAACTATCATCTTAAAAATCTCATTTCCATCTTTATAAAGTCATATTGCTTTGTAACCACCCAGACACATTTCATTGGCTGATATAGCCAGACACATGCTGTCTTTGAATCCAGATGGCTTTGCAGCAGCCCAGAGCTATGTATTCTATAAACTCCTATGCCAAAGGAGTAGCATTTTGTCAACTGACAGAGTGATGCTGAAATATCAGAGTGATTCAAAGACCCTTCCCATGAGCTAGCTAAACATTTTGTTATGCCCCACAGAATGCATTTCTAGTTAACTTAAAGCTATGACACCCACAATAGGGATGGTTTCTATTGGCACATTACTGCTTAGCTGAGAGGGTGGTCAACATCATCAATTTACATTACAAACACCAACAATGTGCCAGACACCAGGCTAGATTCTTGGGTTATACAAAGAGAAATGAATCCCTCCCCCCAAGAAACTTACAAACAAGTTCTAGAAGCTCTAGATTTGGGCATGCTCAGATTTAGGCATGGTAGCAGATAGCAACACTGATACAATTACCATTGGAATTAACACATGATGTAAGTGCCAGTATGGCACAACACCCTGCCCATTCCAAGAATAGGACCAAATCCTCTTGGTGACCTTAGTAGATACAGGATGTCTCCAGGGGAGATGAGGTCCTTACAGAGGGTGATCTTGGTCCTTACAGAGAGAGAGATACAAATGCTACCATGGCTGTCAGATATACTGAGAAAGAACTGAAAGTATCTGGAGTTGGAGGAGGGAGGATCCTTATCTAGTTAGTTCTATGTCAAAGGATTGATTGGTAGGTTAGGGTGGAAAAATCTTCTGTGTTCTTGGGTGTGTGGACAATATGAGATGATGAAGCACACTGGAGAAGGTAGTTCTTAGAAGGATATTCTTACTAACAGATAACTCAGAAGTGATAAAGGATCACCTGAGTAGACTTACCATCTGCTCCTTCACTGCTTTTGCTTCTTTTATTGCGGCGAACATGCTTATTTTCCTCTTCAGAGTATGACTTTTCATCAGGGAAGAAGAAATTCAGTAGGGCCATCTGTAAAATAACAAGTAGATTAGTGAACGATCGACCCCAGTCAGCCACAGCCCACATAAAAAACCTAGCTTTCCATAGACAGTCTACCTTTATCTTAAATTCATTGTGTCTAAAGCCTGAGCCCATCTTACCCTCCACTGTACAAATCCTTTTATTTTTGATACAATTATTATTCCAATCATGTGGGCAGGAAATTTTGGTTAATTTCTAAATCCCTACTCTTCTGTCCTGAATATCTAATAAGTAGTCCATTATGTCCTTTTCTGCATATATTTCTGGGGTTCAGAGAGCCCAGCCACAAATTTCTAACCTCCCTAACATATTAATGCTGCCTTGAGTTTGCTATTCCCCCTTGGATTTCATTATTATGCACCCATGATTTTGTCACATTCCTATTTGTGCTGTACTTTTGGTTTCGTCCCTGAATGCTGTGCATGTAATACTGAGTATCATTTATGTCAATGTTCTTCTGGGAGTTAGTCATGACAAAGCATACAATTATTCTCTCCCTTTCCTAGATTCCTACAGCACTTATGGTCTATAAGATTCATTTTGGGCTGGGCATGGTGGCTCACATCTGTAATCCCAGCACTTTGGGAGGCCAAGATGGGAGGATTGCTTGAGGCCAGGAGTTTGAGACCAGCCTGGGCAACATAGGGAGACCCTGTCTCTATAAAAAATTTATAAAATTGTTGGATGTGGTGGCATGTGCCTGTAGTCCCAGCTACTCTTAGAAGACTGAGGCAGGAGAATTGCTTGAGCCCAGGAGTTCAGGCTGCAGTGATCTATGATTGTACCACAGCACTCCAGCCTGGGTGACAGAGTAGGACCCTATCTCCAAAAACAAAAACAAAAAAAAGCTCATTTTGGTACTTGGTCCTCTACTGTCTTATAATGATCTCTCATAATAATATAATATGTTTCATATGTGAATAGGTCTGGGGTCACTAATGATGATCAGAGTTTAAATATATACTTGCTGAATTGAATCATAATCTTTCAGCATGAGTGCTTTATTGTGGTAAAAAGATGTCCTTGAGTATAAATAGTGAACAGAGTAGTAGTATTAAGAGTGATTCTAATCCCATCTCTGCCACTTACCATCTATGTAACCTTGGACAAGTTAATTAAGCTTTAATTTCCTCATTTGTAAATAGGGATAATACTACTACTTTGCTTATAAAGCAGTTGCAGAGTTAGCACAGTACCTAGCACGTAATATGCACTCAATAAATGTTAGCTATTATTATTAAAATTAATCTTCAAAATAGATTAGTTAGATAATTTGGACCTTATAAAATGAATTGGCATTCTTATTCTAGTGTGAGCTCAAAAAATAAACAATTCCAGAGTCCTCGTATCTGCTGCATCTCTGAATGAGTGGAAAAAAATGAGTTGGACACAAGAGAGCCCTAACGTTTTACACAAATGTTCTTCAAAATCCTGTGATTTACTGTTTATATTGAACAATTGTACCCAATAGCCTTAAGGTGTAGGATTAGTGTCTTGTAGGATACATTCATCTATTAAATATAAAATTAATAAATGAATGTATAATCTCCAACTTGTGAATAGAGTTGTATTTAAAGCTTATTTAGGTTGAACTGCATGAAACTGTCATTTTTGTATGTCAAAAATGATTGAATATCATCAATTTCACATGGTTCAACTGAACAGTATTTTTGAGTTCCTTCATTGGAATGTAAAATGCAATTTCCCATAGAATCAATATAATAAAGTCTGGTTAGTTTTCCTGATAAGCCCACAGAGAATTAGTTAACCCACAGTATAAATAAGCTAATATACTAATAATAATAGTATAAAACAAAACTTCTATTTACAATAAATCTCAATCATTTGCAGCTCTGTAAGTCATTCTGGATAGAAGAGTCTTCTTGATAACTTTGACTGCTAAAACTTACTTCAGCTATGTTGGATAGAAATTAGTTTATAGTGTATGATTTAATTTAGGGCTTACTGAATATATGGAGGACTATTTTCCTATACATTAAATGGCCCCAGTCCAGTATGGTTTTGAGGTTTTAAAAAAATTATTATTAAAATTACATGACAGAGTAATATATGCTTTGTAGAGAGAAGTTTAAGGTTCTCTGGGAGCAAGAGGGGAAGTACCTAATACAAACTGGGAGTGGACAAGCCTTCTTGGAGGAGGTGCTACCTCTGTGAGTCCTGAAGGGTGTCCAGGATTTAGTTATAAATGGGAAATGGAAAGGGAATTCTAGGCAAAGGGACTGTTGTATTTAAATTTCCTTTTTCAGAGGAAAGAGAAAGAATAGCAATTTTTGGAACTACAAGGGGCTTAGAATAAGTGGTAGGAGGTGGGGAGGAATGGTGAGAAATATGAACCAAGGGGTGTTAAATAAGAGCCAGATCATGTTAAGGAATTTAGACTATATCCTGCAGCAGAGGGATCCTCTGAAGGATTTTTCCCTTTCTAAATTTTTGCCCCTTATGAAAATTTGCGATATAATTTACATATAAAATGCACAAATTTTAAGCATATAGGTTGAAGAGATTTGACACATGCACACACCTTTGTAACCACCACCCAAATCAATATATAGAACATTTACATCACCTTCTAAAATTTTCCCTCGTGCCCCTTCCAGTCATTCTCCAGCAACCCCCTGCCCCAAGGCAACTGCTGTTCTGATTTCTATCACCATCTCTTGGTTTTTTCCGTTCTATATTAGAATCATATGATTTTTCATATGTATGAATGAATATGATTTTTCATTCAACATAATGTCTGTGAAATTCATCCATGTTGTTGCATGTATCTCTAGTTCATTCCTTTTTAGTGCTGAGTAGTAGTATTTCGTTGTATGTCTCTATCATATTTTTTCTGTGCATTCACCTATTGATAGACATTTGGGTTATTTCCAGTTTGGGACTATTATAAATAAAGCTGATATGAACATTCATGTACAAGTCTTTGTATAGATATATGTTTTCATTTTTCTTGAGTAAACACCTAGCAGTGGAACCTCTGGGTAAGTATTTGTTGTAAGAAACTGCCAAACTGTTTTCCAGAGTGACTGTACCATTTTATATGCCCACCAGCAATGTATGTAAGTCCCAGTGCTCTGTATCTTCACCAATACTTGGTATTGTCAGTATTTTTAATTAATCCACCATTCTTGTGGATGTGAAGTATGGTTTCATTGTGGTTGGTTTTTGAGTTCTTAAACTTCTTTTTAATGTTTTTTTCATCTCTTACCTTCCTGTACCGCCTCACCATCACCTACTACAATTCCAGAGTTTTTCTTATACTTTTTGTGCTCCCTCTTGGGCTCAGCTCCCATGAGAGTTCTGGCAGGGGCTCTAGCACATTCTTGTGTCCTGATGGTGGCAGTAGGAGAAGGTGCTCACATATTAACTGTTCTCAAGAGTCTGATGGGAGCCTGTAAGAACTCAAGCTCCCAGAAGAGGAGGGCTGAGGAGAAACAAACTTCTGCAGACAGCAGAAATGACTCCAGCTCCCATGGGTAGTAGGAGTAGCTCAAAGCCCCTCAAGAAAGGCTGTTGATGAATATGGAACATTCATAAGTCAAGTGTTCATTAGAAAGGGACTGCTAGTATATGAAGATGCTTTGAACATAGTTTCTATTTTCTCAATAAAAACCAAAAGAAAACAATACAAAACATTGCTTAAAATGAAAGAGATTTCCTATTCACAGTGCCCTTATTTGAGTCTCAATTAGAGATAGGAGGTAAAACTGTATCATATAGGCCGGGCGCGGTGGCTCACGCCTGTAATCCTAGCTCTCTGGGAGGCCGAGGCGGGCGGATTTGAGCTCAGGAGTTCGAAACCAGCCTGAGCAAGAGCGAGACCCTGTCTCTACTAAAATTAGAAAGAAATTAATTGGACAACTAAAAATATATAGAAAAAATTAGCTGGGCATGGTGGCGCATGCCTGTAGTCCCAGCTACTGGGGAGGCTGAGGCAGGAGGATCACTTGAGCTCAGGAGTTTGAGGTTGCTGTGAGCTAGATGATGCCACGGCACTCTAGCCCGGGCAACACAGTGAGACTCTGTCTCAAAAAAAAAAAAACTGTATCATATAATGGTAAAGACAAAAATCAGTGGCTGCTTATACAAAAAATCTAGAATTCCAGCTTGAGTTTTGCATTCATTAGCATGGCCTCCAGAGGCAAGTTGCAGAGTATGAACAAAACAGCCCTCTCGTTTAGAATATTGCTTTCCTATTGCACAAGAGAGGAGGCATCAGGAATGTTGGCCACAGCCAGGCATTTTGCTCAAGGGAAAAAAAATCTAATTCTTTACACTTTATTAAGTGATTACACCCTTGTTTCTTATGGTAAAATTACATGGTAAACAGCACCTGCAGATTATAGGGATCTCAGCTGGAAACAATTCATTAACAGTGAGACATGAGGGATACATCCATTATTGCTAGTGACTCTCCAGATATTGCTACAAACATATTTTTTCTAATATGTAAACCCACAAAATTATTGGGTCCTTTTTTTTTTTTTTACCGTGACATAGAATAGATTTAATTCATTTTCTATTTCATGGCTAATGTACTTGATTGTACTAGACGATTCATAGGAAATTACTTATAAGCCTCTTGAGGGAAAGGGCCATACCTTATCCATTTTTGTATACCTAGTGCCTTGCCCTGGGCCTGGCACATAGTAGGCCCCAATAAATATCTCTCTGTTGAAAGAATAATTGGACTGTTTTAGACTGTTTGTGCTGCTATAACAAAATACCTGAGACTGGGTAATTTATAAGGAACAGAAATTTATTTTCTCACAGTTATGGAGGCTGGGAAGTCCACGATCAAGGCGCTGGCAGGTTTGGTTATGTGGCTGTTCTCTGCTTCCCAGATGGCATCCTGTTGCTGCATCTTCCAGAGAGAAGGAATGCTGTGTCCTCACGTGATGGAAGGCAGAAGGTCAAGACAGCTGAACATTGCATGAAGCCTCTTTTATAAGGGCCTTAATCCCATT